TATTAATGTACAAATAAATGCAGCCTTGGTGAGCAGAAGAAACTTATTTCAAAACCATAACCCCAAACATTTAGGAACCCATTTTAGCACAGAGTTTCCTATTCAACCATGGCATACATAATTTGGAATGAAAAGTAACCCCTCAAAAAACAATCACTCTCCGCTTTCACAATGACCATTAAACTCCACTTTCACCCCACATAAATGTCTCATGAGCAGAAAGAAAGCAGCTTTTTGTGTGAGGTGTAAATTTACCATCATCTGCTGAGGCCTCGCTGCTGTAGCCATCATATTCAGCCGCTAGGGGGTAGTATTTCTGCCGTGTGTCCCAGCCATAGCCCTTCTGGTGGTGCGAGTTAGTCCCCGCTGAACCACCCTGGAGACCCTGCGATCGAGACACTGCCTCCTGGTACTGGCCAATCACCTCATCATCACTGTCTGACGACGAGCAGTGATAGTCTGCATTCACACAGCTCTTATCTGAGACAAAGAAAACCAGGAAAGAAAGGGGGACAATTTAAAAACAACACGAACATGCGCTTGAATTTTGAGCACAAGAAATCATTTGAGAAAGTTTTAGCAGTCAAATGTTCTCCACCTTTTCTCAACAACCTATTTATAGATTGTAGCACTGGTATGTCACCAAATAAAGGTAACAAAAGAAGAGAAAATGTGAAATAAAATAATGTGACTTGATAAAAACCGTGACTTGGGGAAAGTCGTGGCCTAATGGTTAGAGAGTCGGACTCATAACCCAAAGGTTGTGGGTTCGAGTCTCGTACTGGCAGGGATTGTAGGTGGGGGGAGTGAATGTACAGTGCTCTCTCCCACCTTCAATACCACGACTGAGGTGCCCTTGAGCAAGGCACCGAACCCCCAACTGCTCCCCGGGCGCCGCAGCATAAATGGCTGCCCACTGCTCCTGGGTGTGTGTTCACGGTGTGTGTGTGTGTGTGTGTGTTCACTGCTGTGTTTGTGCACTTTGGATGGGTAAATGCAGAGCACTAATTCCGAGTATGGGTCACCATACTTGGCCACTTCACTTAAATATACTTTTGTAATAAAGATGATAGAAAAGTGCAATATAAAGATCTATATATAATGTATTCATAAAATCATTTCAATTCTTAAACTAGGGGAATTCAATCAATAAAAAAACTCTGTGTATATTATGTTACAGATAATGTAAATATCCTCATGCCTGTTTAGCATTTCTGTAACATTGCCATACCAAAATAACTCTAATCTTCAGCACAAACACTAGATGGCGATATAGTTTAATAATTAAAACATTCGCACATAATAAGCATTCAGGTAATACAGTCATATTATTTTAGCCAAAATATAAATAATAAATCCCCTGTATTTTTTACACATAAAGAGGAATAAGAGACAGGAGAAAAGCATGAAATAGAGATACATATAAGGTGTCAGCAACCACAGAGAGTTCATGTTTTCTCATATAGATAAAAGGGAGGGAAAGTGAAGCAGCATTTTGACCGCAGCAAAGATCATTCTCACCAGATGAAGAGATCAGACAGACCCAGATCAGTTTGAAAGAGTCCAGGTGGATTTTAAAGAAAGAAAAGATGATGGCTCTCTTTTATTAGACACAGTCATCCAGTGAGGTTCAGATAACTGAGGGAAAAATCAGCAGCCTTATCCTCTCACCTTCAGCAGGTCTCTCACTATTACTAGATTTCTTCTCCTCACCACCATCTGCTGGGCTTCTAGATGTTTTTAGTTTAGTGGACTCAGTTCTTTCTATAACACAGGATCCATTTTGTTGTAGTACAGAAAGTGAATCGGCACCATTTTGCGCTTTGAACTTTTCTTTCAGTGTGTCAGGAGCCTGTGAGAGGTCGCTTTCTGTAGAGAAAGTCTCAGTGAACAGCAGTGAACCGGTGTCGTTGCCTGTAGTCTGAGGCTCAGAGTCCTTCACTAGGCCACATGCAGCCTGGGTCTGGATTTCAGTCCTACACAGAAAAGGATCTCTTTCCTGGGCCTGCCGTGCTGCAGCCTCCTTCTCTTCCGCCTCCTTCTTCCGAATCCTCTTCAGCTCCTCGGCCTGGACTTTGTGGATGATGGTGTTGACATGTTCAGCGAGTTCTCCGCTCACCGTGAATGTGACATCACTCAGTGCATAAGCCAGGTCATCAACCTTTTCTGACACCGATTCCAATACGGCAGACATGGAGGGGAGACTTTGCTGGAAGCTCTTAAAAAATGCCATGCTGCCATGGAAGGCAGGTTTGATTGGTCAATTTATGATGAAAATATGTCCAATGATTATGTAGACTGCTCAAAATCTACAGTTAAAAACTACTTCAAATGGCAAACACATTTTAAACAAAATGATCTGAGCACCTAAAAGAAAAAAAAATAAATGAAAAAGGAAACAAATCATCTTTAAATAACACAAAATTTATAAACTATAAAATTTTAAAATGTTATAACATATTTATAAACTTTTGATTCA